CATAAGACTTTTGATGGTACGGTGTGAATATATCCGCATTGGGTTTCTACCTGATACACTAGTTTATTTTGCTTATATTTCTTTAAAGATGAATTTTAAATATGAAGTATAGTATGTTTTTCAAAAGGTATTGAAAGTTGAAATGCTAAAAACTTTGCGACACGTATTTCTTATGAAAAAAAAAAACAATAAACTGATAAAGTTTCAGAATTCTTCAATAAATTTTCACGATTTTTCCTTACCTGAATTTTTCTTTATAAATTCCTGGCTTTAGATGCTGATAACTCAAATATTACAAGTCAAAATGAAAATATTTTTACTTCTCGTATCTTCTCGGAAAAAGTACATGTTTTTTATATATAATATGTTTAATTACTATGTGTATCAAAAAGTTGACCATTTGTGTCCAAAATCTAAACTCATCGAAAGGTTTGAAAACCTATATCTCGAGAGAGAATGATCAAATTAAAATAATTTTTGCATCTCGCTTTCTCTCGGAAAAGGTAGATGTAATTTAATGTATAATTTGTATTATTAAAGTTAATCGCAAAAATTTGATATGTAAGATACATTTAAAACTGGTCTAAAAAAATTGGAAGTGCCATATCTCAAAATCTAAAAGTCTTATTGCAATAATTTTTTGCTCTCCATTTCTCTCGGAAAAAGTAGATTTGTTTTAATATATAATTTATAAAATTTGGATGATTTTTGAAAAAGTCTTGTCAGCAGTACAAATGGATATTAGACGAGTTTGGGCATCTCCAGATCTCAGAAACTATGAGGTCTCGAAAAATTCTAACTTCATCTCGGTTTCTCTCGGAAAACTGGGAAAGTTTCAGATGTCCATTCGACATTATCCATTTGTACTTATCTCACACGGTAAAGTTGATGTTTTAAAAAAGTTTGGTCAAGAAATTCTATAATGTCCATAATAAGACAGGCTATTAATAATTAAGACAAATTGGATAAGTTTTAAAATCACAATTTTTTTTATTAAATACAATATCAAAATATATTGCATATTATAAATAAGATCTAAACGTGAATAGCTTGATTCATTTAACCGCCGAATGATTGTGTTCCAGCAGCAGCGTTTGATACACATAGTAATTAAACATATTATATATAAAAAACATGTACTTTTTCCGAGAAGATACGAGAAGTAAAAATATTTTCATTTTGACTTGTAATATTTGAGTTATCAGCATCTAAAGCCAGGAATTTATAAAGAAAAATTCAGGTAAGGAAAAATCGTGAAAATTTATTGAAGAATTCTGAAACTTTATCAGTTTATTGTTTTTTTTTTCATAAGAAATACGTGTCGCAAAGTTTTTAGCATTTCAACTTTCAATACCTTTTGAAAAACATACTATACTTCATATTTAAAATTCATCTTTAAAGAAATATAAGCAAAATAAACTAGTGTATCAGGTAGAAACCCAATGCGGATATATTCACACCGTACCATCAAAAGTCTTATGGATAGACCAAGATTTGCTCACCATAGATTTGAATTTATAAAGCTAGCGAGTCATATCTGCATAAAACAGATTTTAAATTGATAGAGGCATTGCTGAGAAAAAAGCAAAATAGAAAATACGCTTTCTGTAAGAAAGGATGTTTGGCATATTCGTTAAGTTTTATACCTTCAGACTTATGCTGAGAAAATCTTGGTCTATCGGATTTCTACCCGATAAACAAGTCGTAATTAAGGTTAGCATACAAAAAAAAGTTTGTAAATATTGCTTTGAAATCTCAGGAAAAGTTGAAAGACAAAATTCAAGTAAGTTAAAATCTAAATCAATATTATTTTGAGATTGAGGTTTTTTAAAGTTGAAATGCTGAAAACTTTGCGACACGTATTTCTTATGAAAAAAAAAACAATAAACTGATAAAGTTTCAGAATTCTTCAATAAATTTTCACGATTTTTCCTTACCTGAATTTTTCTTTATAAATTTCCTGGCTTTAGATGCTGATAACTCAAATATTACAAGTCAAAATGAAAATATTTTTACTTCTCGTATCTTCTCGGAAAAAGTACATGTTTTTTATATATAATATGTTTGATTCCTTTATGTATCAAAAAGTTGACCATTTGTGTCCAAAATCTAAACTCATCGAAAGGTTTGAAAACCTATATCTCGAGAGAGAATGATCAAATTAAAATAATTTTTGCATCTCGCTTTCTCTCGGAAAAGGTAGATGTAATTTAATGTATAATTTGTATTATTAAAGTTAATCGCAAAAATTTGATATGTAAGATACATTTAAAACTGGTCTAAAAAAATTGGAAGTGCCATATCTCAAAATCTAAAAGTCTTATTGCAATAATTTTTTGCTCTCCATTTCTCTCGGAAAAAGTAGATTTGTTTTAATATATAATTTATAAAATTTGGATGATTTTTGAAAAAGTCTTGTCAGCAGTACAAATGGATATTAGACGAGTTTGGGCATCTCCAGATCTCAGAAACTATGAGGTCTCGAAAAATTTTAACTTCATCTCGGTTTCTCTCGGAATACTCTCAGAAAACTGGGAAAGTTTCAGATGTCCATTCGACATTATCCATTTGTACTTTTCTCACACAACTTTACCACAGTGAAAATGTATCTACATGGACTATAAAATTTAAGGATTCTCTCTTGACAAGATGTGACCATGAAAATAGTCTGCTTTAATGAATTTTCGATGTCCCAAACTTTGGTTATTTGAAGCAAAGCTATCAGAAGTTTATGATGATTCAATCTCATTAATATAAAAAATAGTTGAAAGCATGTTCAAGTTTTTATTGGAGATTTATAACTCAAAGGACATTTCAAGCTATTGATTATTGATGTCCAAGCTTTAAAATAAAGAGGGGAAAGGGGATTGAATTTGTGGAACAGATAAAGAGAATAATAAGCTAACTTTTGATGAACGTCGATTATGAATGACAAACGTTGATGAAGTGTGACGTAGATTGTAAGAAAACTTACAATATTAATCGCTTTATGAATGAAATTTAATTCAACATTCAATATTGATACAGATTCCGTATAAAACGATTTTGCATGTTTATGAAAATTTCAATAACAATTAGGTAATATAATGCGTCTCATTATTTTATTGGGCTTCGTTCACATTAATGATTTCTCAGAGAAATTCTCGTGCATCTTCAAATCGTTACAAGCTCTTAGCTTTCAAAATATAAAAAATGAATAATTCTGTTAGCAGTTAATAAATTCAAATGATGAAGCCATATTATCTCGAGTTGTGTATTCAAGGAATCTCTTTGTTTTATATGATGATTAGTTACTATTTAAGTTTATCTATATATCCGAACATACAAAGAGCATGCTCAGAAAAGTGAGCATATAAGTGAGTCTACTCAAAAATTATACTCATGCAAGCTCATTCAACTGAGCATGCTCAGGAGTTCATTACGAATGTACTCACTTTATTTTTTTACAAAAACTTTATAAGCTCACGTGATTGCATTCAATAAGTATACTCTTGAGAATATTAAGAACATACTCATGTGAATTCACTCATATGAGTTCACTTACTGAATGTACTCATGAGCATATAATGAGCAAACTCACTTCTGTGTTACACAATTTTTTTATATTCTCATATGAGTGCACTTACTGAATGTACTCATGAGCACATAATGAGCAAACTCACTTCTGTGTCACACAATTTTTTTTATATTCTCATATGAGTGCACTTACTGAGTTTATTCAAGAGCAAATTGTGTACCTTTTTTAAAAAAAATGTCAGCTTAATCGAAAACGTTAAAAAAATGATTTTTAAGGAAGCTGACGTTTTTAAAAAATGTTAGCTAAATCGAAAACGTTAAAATAATGATTTTTTAAGGAAGCTGACGTTTTTTAAAAATGTCAGCTAAATCGAAAACGTTAAAATAATGATTTTTTAAGGAAGCTGACGGTTTTTAGAAATGTCAGCTAAATCGAAAACGTTAAAATTGGTGCTTAATAAGATCCAAACTTCAAAGAACTTAGTTCGCCTGTAAAAATATAATAATTTAACTATGTGTTATGCCATATATAAATTATTATATATTTACATACAATAGCTCCAAGGAAAAGTGTGAGACGACAGAAGTTAAGCAACGCAGAAGATATTTCAACAAGGATGGGTGACCAGATTTATATGTTTCATTCTAAGTATTTGAGATTAAAGTATTAATAATAATTTCTAACTCTTTCAAAATTATTCACAGAAATAAACGGAACAGTACTTAATTTCAGCTAACCTATAATACTCAAATTTAGCTTAATTAATTTTTTGAATTTTGCAACTTCACTTGAGTGCACTCATGAGTGTGCTCAGATGAGCATATACTCATAAATATACTCACTAAGTATATATTCTTTGAGTACGTTTATGAGTATGTACTCTTTGAGAATATTTATAAGTATGTACTTTTTGAGAATGTTCATGAGTATATTCAATAAAAATGTTACACGAGAAAAATGTTGCATGTGACATGTTACCTTCTTATTTTTAGTATGCTCATGAGTTTACTCAATGAGCTTAATACATGTCACATAAATGTGCTCACTGAGCATGCTCAAGAAGGTACCGTAAGCGCATCACTGAAATGTATGAAAATAAGCACATTCTCACAAAGGCTAATAGGCTCACAAATAATGTGCTCTGAGCATGCTCATTGTATGTTCGGGATATATATATTTAAATATTATAATAATTTAAACTTACTTCTTTTTTGCTTTGCTGACAGCAATAAAACTAAAGAATAAATTCTTTCAAATCAAAAAAGATTTAAAAATCTTTAAACTCATTTTTTATCGACTCCAAATCTTTAACAACAGCATCTTTCCATGAAATCTCATACCGCCTACATAAAAAAGATTAAAAACAACTTCTTACCGCTTTTACTGTCTATCCTTTTCTTGACGATATTTTGATTCTGTCTGAATTGAACATTGAAGAACTTGATTATTGAAATTTGATTCACACTTTGATGTATAAAACTTGAATCCAATAGTATTACGATTTCATCCCTAGCCACATCAATCTGTTTTATCTCATTTTGTATTTATTCATATATTACATATATCAAACATTACATTTCATAAATAGCTAGAATAATATAAATTTTGTTTCATTTTTATATATACTCGTGAAACGAACCGTGCATAATTCGTCAAACATTCAAAGTTAAAACAAATATCCTACATACTTTCTCATTTTCACGTTCTCCTAATAAACGAGGAATGAATAACACCAAGCAATATTTTTTTTGTGAAGCAAGCAACATGTATCTTTTATCCACTTCTTCTTCTCCTACTTCTTTTTGTTTTATATCACAGAGTAAACTCAATTTATGTTTTTTTTTTCACGAAGATTTTCTTTATGATAATTCGAATCCTGTGTTGCTTGTGATGGCATACCTTAATTTATCTCTCAATATGCTCTTTTTTTGGTAGTTTGGGAGTCTGTTAGTGGATGAGAAAATATAGAAATCAATATTGACCTCACATTAATGGCATCAATTTATCATAAAATTACTTTAAAAGATTGAAACACGTTGAACTTGTTGGTAATCTCGTTTGAATTGCTGGCTCCTTTTTTCGGATTGTGAAAAATCCTCGAATAACACTGCCAATTGTATCACCTATGAGGATTAGAGGCAGTTTATAAACTTATACATGCTACGGACACGTCGAAAAATCCGTTATTTTTGCTTCGAATTTCAAAAGACCGGTAAATATTCATGAATATTTCTTGCAAACACTGGCAAAAACAAGGTTTGGGCAAACGATTTTTATTCTTAGCTTCGTGTTTAGCTAAGTGTGAACTTATATTTGACCTTAGTAAGGTCATGCTAAGGACATTTCAGTGTCGATTTTTAAATTTAGTCGACCTAGCGTTTGAATATTTTAAAACCGTTAAAAGTTTGTCAATTTTAAGATTTTAAGCATTAATATTTAATTTCTAGTATTTTTCTTGGATGATTTTAGCTAAACTTAGCTAAACACGAAGCTAAGAATAAAAATCGTTTGCCCAAACCTTGTTTTTGCCAGTGTTTGCAAGAAATATTCATGAATATTTACCGGTTTTTTGAAATTCAAAGCAAAAATAACGGATTTTTCGACGTGTCCGTAGCATGAGTCGGGTAATCATTAATAAAATAAGCAAAAAGCTATTCAAAATCAAATTTAAGTCAGAAGACTTCTAAGAATAGAAGTGTAACACTTTACTCAACTATGCGTCTAACACAAGAATAGATTAGACTAAAACCAAAGTGTCCTGGAAGTACGCGGGCAGGATATGTCCAATCGACTTGAAACTCTAATATAGGTTATTTTAGGTCATCAATCAAAACTTTTTGGTCATGCTTAGTTCCCGAGATACAGCATGTGCCATTAAGTACAGCCACAAAATTGGAAGTACGGGGGCGACTTTTCATAAAACCATGAAATTATTAAGGTTATATATTAAAACACATCTACGATTTATGTCCGAAAAAATTTTTGGAATCGGACCTTTGGATCCAAAGTTATAGGCATAAGAAGTTTATGGACGGCATATCATGCAATTTCATTTTTTTAAACTAATCATGTTATGTGACTAAAAGTATTAAAATTTTGCAAGGAATTCAAATCTAATAAAATTTATTTGATATGACTTGTCATTTTGGAAATATGGCATTTCCAACATAACATAGTCCTACCTGAATGACAAAAGTTTCAAAACTTTGTCTATAATATGTTATATATCAAATCATATCTATTTTCAACGAGAATTATTTATTTGCAAATATATTTTGGAACTGGTCGGTCACGAGTAAGTTATATCCAACCAAACTATAGCGAGAATGTTTAAAAATTAAAAAAAAAATCGAGTTGGATATACCTTTTACGAGGATCAAAAATAAAAATAAGATTAAACATTTGTTTAGATTTTGGGATTCATGAACAAGTTTAAAATCTTCTCAAAATAGGCGCAAATTGTAGAAATCTCGTAAACAACGATTCAATTTTAAAATTCAACAATTATTTTTTTGGATAATATGGATAAAGCAGAGATCGAAGCCGATTTTTTCGGCTTAACTCAATTTTTGATTTTTTTGATAGAAAAAAGCCATTTGACACCCATTTCAAGTATTTAAATTGAACTTTACATGCTTTACTATGATTCTGTGTAATATTTTGTCAGCATGTAGCTATAGTAAGCTCAGAATTTCAAGTTAAACGATTTTAAGCCGAAATTTAAGCCGATCGGCTTAAAATCGGCTAAATTGAAATTCTGAGCTCACTATAGCTACATGCTGACAAAATATTACACAGAATCATAGTAAAGCATGTAAAGTTCAATTTAAATACTTGAAATGGGTGTCAAATGGCTTTTTTCTATCAAAAAAATCAAAAATTGAGTTAAGCCGAAAAAATCGGCTTCGATCTCTGGGATAAAGAAATAAAAATTAGTAAAGTGGTGATCACACGTAATCGACCGAAGCTCATTTTCACCGCACAGAATTATGTATGCATTCCTCAATTTAATTTATCTTTTTATTTTAGACAAAAATACCTAGCTCGATAATATCCTGCCCGCGTACTTCCAGGACACAAACCAAATAGCATTAAACCACAATAGTTAAATGAGGTCCATAACAAAAGAATTAATAAGCATTAGTTGTTTCTCTTCATATTCAAGAATTAAGTGTACTATAACATTTACAGCCCAAACAAATGGATCATAAAAAGACGATTTTTAAAATTTTATTTATCGACGTCTGACTGTTTTAAGAATCTTACCTGTATCTTCTTCTTCCGATACTTCTACGCATCTTATACTGAACTGAGGTTCCATATGTGAAAATCCCAAAAGAGGAGGCCTGTTGAGCAACCAAATTAAAAAAAAGGTAATTTTTCTTTTATAGAATTGTTATGGAAACATTTTTTAAGGTAGAAATAAAAATACCTTGAACAGCTTGTCACGAACTTCAAAAACAATCGTCTTTCTTCTTCTGTAAAATCCTTCGCAAGGATATCCCAAAGCCAATTTATAAGTCTATGGCTATCATGGTAGCCACCTAACAGAATTATTCAATTAAATTTGATCTCAAAATAATATTAAGCATGTGATCAACACTTACCAAAATATTGCGTATGTTTCCGAAGGTCTTTCAAATCAAGTGGACTCGTGTCACCTGAAAAGGGAATTATTACACATGTTTAGTGATTTATGAAAGTATGTTATTGATTCTTACCGGAAATAAGTCTTTGCAGTTCATTTGTAGAGAATAACGCTAACCACTCAGGATTGATTATACTGCGGAAGCCACGAATGAATGCAGTCGACTGTTCCGAAATTTGTGTATGCATCCGAAAGAATGCCATACTATGAATATAGTTGATCCTAATAAAAAGACAATAAAGTTCTTTTGTCACATTCAAGTCAGTAAGATAAGAACTAACCTATTTTCATTGGTAACAGCAGTCAGCCTGCCACTCGGAAATAATTCATGAGTGACAACTTTTCCCATTATGTCCTCGTCCACAGAGAATGTTAAACCTAAATCTGAAACATCACCCTGGATTTATGATAGTTGAATAGAATAGAGTTAATAACAGAAGATGGCACAAAATGTAAAAGATGTGATGTAGGGTCGTTTACAAATGATGTTTAACGAAAATTCATCAGCTCTTAATCCAGACTACCAATTCCAACCCACATATTAAATTGTTGGACGTTATCAGCAAACGACAAATTAAAGCTTTTACTTACCTCATAGTGCTTTATGAATGACAAATTTCTATATAGTTCATTATCTAATGATGAGAGTTCATCTATGCATGAATACAGAGCTTGTTGTGTCTGACCAAGTACAAGAGATAGAAAAAATGATGCAAATGGCACATCAACTAAAATCCCCTCATAAACCATTTTCCCCAGCATTTTACCAACGAATTCAAAGAGTTGCTATGGGATACAAAAAGAGCAAAAATTTGTCACAAAGATTCATCTAAAGATAGTATGTATGTAATATTTACCAAGTGATTCTCCTGTAAATACGAAGTTGGTGAAGGATATAAGCGGTTTTCAGCTGTTGTTTTAAATAGATTTAAAGACGGATCAAAGACACGTTTTATTGTCTCTTCCAAAAATTCTTTAAAGACTCCGTCCTGATCAATTCCAGCTTCGTCTAAACCCTGTGAATTTATAAATCGTACTCTTATGATTCCCTTTAAAGCTCTCGGTGGCAATGCTGCTAATTGTCTATATCCATCCTCAACTATCCTATCTCTATGGACAGTTACTAAAGCTGAACTGGAAGCATATGCTGAATCTATAAAAATAATATTATTTTATAACCAACGGACAATTCAATAAAAATAAAAATAATAAAACACATACCACACAAACCTAGAACAGCCTTTTCATTCTGTACATACTTTCTGAACAAAGAGACCCTTTCTTGATGACTGATAATATGTGGCATTTTTTGCAATAACAGCTGTGCTTGTGCGTATTTGCTTTTTCCCTTTTCTAGATCCATTAGAAAATATGCTGGTTTGATGTCCTTGATAATCCAATGATTCTCAGGTGCAAATCGTCTCCGATTATCACGTCGATATAAACATAATAATAATGTATGCATAGATACAAATAATGGACAGTTAAAAACAACTTTTACATCATAAATATTATCATTGACAGTTTTGTAGAGTAAATTGTTGAGGAAGTGTGACAAGACAATGTAGTCTTGGATTGAAAATGTCTTCTCCTGCTCATACATCTCAATGTCATCAAGTATGGTAACATAATGGCTAGAATAGATATTATTTCATGAATTAAAAGTTTTAAAATTCTGAATTGTATCACTCACGTCATTGAGTCGCAAAATAATAGCAATAGTAGTCCTGGTGAATTGTTTATGTCATCATATCGTATAAGATCAATGAAGCTTTTCATTCCTAATGAATTAATTAATTTCCATAAATCTCTCAAAATTGTTCCATTGTAACATATGCCTGACAATATGTCCAATTTTAACTGCGGTAGTGTATTTAAAGCTTCATAATACATTGCACATGTTGTAGATATCCTGTGAACTTCTGGTGAATCAAAGAGCTTCTTGAATGATTTCGAACTTTTATTGATTATGCCACTTTTTAGTTCAATAGCCTTTTTAAGGAAAACATTCGATGAGGAACTAGCACCTGTTGTTGACGATAAAATAACAGACATTTCTTTATCACTCGACTTTTCTAATGATGAAGCAAAAGACTTTAGATAATCTCCAAGTAGGATTTTCGTCAATTTATGTCCCCATAATAAATTAATCTGCTTTCGAATTAACGATAAATTCTCATATACAGTCTCAGTGGATTTGCTCGCATTGTACCATCCCAAAAGCTCATGCCACTGAAAATAAATAATTATTATTATTATTATTATTGATTGACTTTGGATATATTTTTAATGATAATACGACTAGTGGTAATGGTCCCGTTACAGTCTTCAATTCCAAAATTATAATTTGAATCTTGAGAACCTTGTAATTTCTTCTGAATTGATTTTATTATACACAATATCATATTCACACAAAAATTTCAATTTTTGTGAATATATTTTTACATTTTCAACTTTTCACATTCTTTCAAATCTTCAATTTTTCCAACACAAAAAATTTGATCTCCGTTCAATGTTAGCCACTTGGTATATGATCCATCTTCATTGTGTTTAATTCTATTCTCTTTATCTTGTTTCATCTCCTCATTATCATCCTCCTGACTAAAAGTCTTCGTATCAGATATGTTGTACCTAAGTCGTTTGAAACAAACTGCATTGGTGTTTGGAAGATCAGCTAATTCATCAATAAAGTTGCAAATATCATAGATGGTTTTTACGTATTATTTATAATCAGAACAACTGCGATGATATTCTGAGTGATTACCTCTGCAATTGCAGCAGAGAATTGTATCATTTGTAACTTAACGAAGACATTGTCTTTTTGAATGTCATGCTTGACAATTAAAGCATTGTGTTGTGTACTTATTTGACTTCTAAAGTTTTAAATCTGAATTTGATTCCGATTCACTTCTGAAGAGTGGTTGTCTTGACTTCAGTCACTTTAAGAGCTAGAATATTTATTTAGAGCATTTGAAGTAATTCTTCACTAAAGATATCATAGAATCCGTTCATAATTAATTTGTTTCACTTTTCACACTTTTCTGTCAAAGTGTGGCATTCGATTTTTATTATTTTCGATTTCTCAAATAGAATCTCAACAATTCATCCTCTTATCACCAACGCTAAAGCTAGAAACCTGTATGAAATTGTTCCTCTTATCATGTAGAGAATTCCAGTTGTCACTTCTAATGACGAAATTGCTTTTTTGCATCTTAAATATTCGCGCTGAGATAAATCATCTTTACAAGCTTGTTCTTTTCTTAAGTTTTTTGCACTTTTTTTTACCCATTTTCACTTCACTTCATTTAAGCACTTAAAGCTGTTTTTAGATATAACTCACCTATTACTATTATCTTAAGTAAGGCTTTTAAAACTGATTTTTCTAAAAAAATTAAGTAATTTTTGTTGTTCACGCTTTGAGGTGCTGAGCTTTCCTAATATTCTTGTGCAGTCTTGGTAGAAAGCGATCAAGTTTTAGCCAAAAAATTATAAGAATTTTTACAAAAAGTTCAAAAAAAGTTTAAAAATTCATCAGCATTTTAGGATTTTATAGTAGAGATTTGTGATATTCAGCTAAAGAGATTTTCAAAGAAATTGATAATGATATTAATGAGCTAAACAATGCCGATACTCACTTGACTACACGTTCCTTTCTGCTCGACAGTATCTGGAATTGTCTCAAAAAGAAGTTTCATTGTCAACACAATTTGAGGATATGCCAATTCTTGTGCCTTTTCTGTTGATTCCATATAATAAAGTTGTATGAGATTTGCTGACAATGACAGTAATTTAGCTCCTTGTAGCGTCCCAGATATGAACTTAAAATTATCTTTATCATGCATCAAGACCATGCATTTTTCAAAAATCTCTCGACTTTGGAAATTTTTGAGGGTGTCTGGACATAACAGCTCGAGTTGATAGATTAATGCGGGTATAGATAAAATTTGACATATAAATTGTGAAAGAATATTTTCAGTAAAGTTTCCAAATACTAGAGGTCTCATTGCGAGATTAATCACAGCATTCAAAGAAATTGGCTTTAATGTAACGACAGTACGGCATGTTCCTTTAATTAAAATTGTTCTTAATGTTAAATAAAATCCTTTTTGGATCAAAAATCCGAGAATGTTGTTACAAATTTGTTGCATTGCAGGTTTCATAGCTGCCAATTGCTTATTTTTCAATATAACAAAACCGCTTGGACACGTAAAAGCGATTAGTGTTCTTAGCATTAGGGCCAATGTGACTGTATCTTGATGAATTTCTGGCTTTAATGTATCAATGACTGTACAGCAAATATAAAGGATTTGTTTAATGTGTCTGATCCATGATAAGCTCTGATCTTTGTTTAATGCAACAGCTACATAATTTAACTTTAGGGATTCAGAATTAGCGCTTGCCAAGAGATATCTACATATCCTTTCCCAGTTCTCACGATTCTGATCATACTTATCAGGCTTCCAAATGAGGAGATATCGTGAAATTGCATGAAAAGCTTGTAGATTTGGCTTTACTTCTATTTCATCGTCAGTGATTGTAACATTAGGTATTACATTATTAAAGTTTTGTCTAAAAATCAGATAATTAAAGTTACTGGATCTTTTTCGAAAATGAAAATTAAGACTTACAGAATCGTATCATTAAAATTCTTCCTTGCTTTATATCCACGATAGTTTCGTTGGATTATTAGTGCTGCATACTGCTTCTTTTGTTCCTTTTCCTTCTCTTGCAGCCTGTCTATTCTATTTTTTCTGACATTTTCAACGAAGAAATTTTTATTTTTCTCTGATACATCCATTGTTGATGTTATATTTTGTTAAATCAATAGTTTATAGCATTTTAGTTGATTAACTGTTCTTTTACATCCAGTTAATTAACTTTACTAGCCGTTTTGGATGTTTTTGGACGACTTTAAACATAAATATTTTGCAAATTTAAAATTTTTGTGAATATTTTGTTTTTCTTACTCGTTTGCGAATTTTCGAACGAAAAAAATTATGTTGTTTAGCAGTTGTTAACACCTAAAGCGCATTTAAGAGAATTAAAACACTTTAAACTTAATTAATTTTACTATTTTTCACTTTCATTGATTGCATAAATTTGCAACGGGTTTAATTTGAAATTATCGGTTATTATTTGAAGTGTGACAGTTATTTTTTGAAATTTGAAATTTTAATCGGTTAATAACATTACTTCCTTTCATTTTCACGAACATTAAAGTTTAAAACTTAAAATTATTGTATTTAGAACAAAGTGAAGGCACAAGTGAATTTTTTGCTAGATAAACAGTATAAAAATGCATAATATTTATGTAAACAACCCAGCTGTTCATGCTCACAAGTTGCTCAGTTTTTAAATTACAAAAAATTGAGCACTCATAAATGTTTAATTATTTCATTTATTCAATAAATAGCCTTGAAATCTACATAAACTAGACATATTAAGAGTTACCAAGTAGCTATAAAGTATAATTAAGTGAAAGACAACTTTTTTGTAGCTTATTCTTAAGGATTTTAATACTTTAAGCAAATTAACCGGTTTTAAGCATGGAGAAAAACGAAGTTTTTGATTATTTCCAAGAAATTGCTAGAAGTGCATTTGCAGATATGCTGCATGATACAGAAAGAAACCAAAAGTATTCAGCTGCATTGAAGGAAACTATAGAGAATGTCAAAAAAGAAGAAAAAGAAGCCAATGTTTTAGGTGAGCAAATTTAAAAGCAAAATCTGATGTTTTCTCAACTAATAAATTAAACTTTATAGATATTGGAACTGGAACTGGATTACTGGCAATGTTGGCTTCACAGCACGGTGCAGACTCAGTCGTGACAATTGAAACTTTCTCTCCTGTATCTCAATTTGCACGGAAAATCATCGAGAAGAATGGCTTTAAGGACAAAATTAAAGTAATTAACAAGCATTCGACGGAAGTAAAAGTTGGTGATCATGAAGAGATGAAGCAGAAAGCTAATATTCTTGTTGCTGAAGTTTTTGATACTGAATTGATAGGCGAAGGTGCCTTAAAAACTTACAATGATGCTCATAGAAATTTACTGGACGATGACTGTATCGCAATACCACACAAAGCTAACGTCTACATCCAAATTGTAAAGAGTGAATTAGCATCTTCCTGGTATACATTAAAAGATATGAAAATTGATGAAGATCAAGTCATTAAAGCTCCTGATGATGTAAGTCAAATAATTTTTACTAATTAATTATTAACATATCTATGATCAATTATGTTAGATCATTATATTATAACGGATGCTAAGAACTAATGCTTCTTTTTGAGAACTAATAACTTAAATTAAGAGTTTAAGTTTTCAAAAACTCATGAAAATCTTGCAATAAAAATGTCCAAATGACACTTGCTGCGTACCAAAATGTAGGTCTTGGCAAGAACTATAAGAAAAACATAGTTCTTAGTAACATTATTTGCAAGATTGATTTGTAAATTATTGCTCGGCGTCACTTACAATTCCTTTATGATCTTGCCCTTTTAGTTTAATTAAAGCTTGTCACGTTTGTCATTCCTCAAATAGGTCACGAAATGTCGAGGATTATCGTCCATAAATGACATTCAACTTAGCCAGTTCCCATTAAATGAATTCAAAGCAATTACAGAACCAGTAAAGATTTGTGAATTTAATTTTTCGAGTAACAAGCTAATTCCAAATGACGAGTCATTCAACTACTCTTTTAAATCCAAAGAAGATACAGAGTCTATAATTATATTTTTTTGGTGGGATATTCATATGAATGAAAGTGGTAGTATCCTTTTAAGTTGTGCTCCATATTGGGCTCATCCTGACACAAATTCAATAAATAATGAAATCGAAAAGAGAAACGGAATTCCATGGCGAGATCATTGGATGCAAGGATGCTATTACGTTCCTAAATCGCTAGAAAAAGGACTCAATTATGTCCTAACAGCAAGTCATGATGAGTTTTCGTGGTTCTTTGATGTTTATAACGAATCGAAAGTAGAGAAAATTGAACGTCCAATGTGTTCATGCTTTCTACATATCTGCAATTCCCGAAATCAAATTATGCAAATGAATGACGAGTCAAAGAGACAAGCTTTTATGAAATTATTGCGAAATGTCGATCTTAATAACGTTCTCTTTATTGGCGACCACAGTCTGATTTCCTTAATAGCTGCAAACATATCAACAGCTAAGAAAATTACAGTTTATCAGGAAGATGAGTTGTGCTTTAAAAGTCTAAGAAAATTCATTGAATGCAACAATTTGAATCATAAGATCAATCTTATTAATGATTTGACAAATGTGAAGGATATCACTCACTTAATCGCAGATCCATGCTTCAATTCAGCCATCCTTCCTCTCGACAATATATCACAGATAACAACAATCGTTCAGAATTTATGCAAATTAAATCAGCAGCCATTCAAAGTGTTCCCACAGCGAGCTAGAATTTTCACAGTTCCTGTTCATTTTTTGAATCTCCACAAGATTCGATGGCCACTGGAGTCATCATGTGAGGGATTTAATCACGAGTGCTTTGATGAAGTCGTCGAACTCGCATCAAAAATAGCTGATGATAATGTTGAACCGTTTTCTTTGTGGGAATATCCATGCTATGCTCTCGGGAAACGATCAAATATTTTTGAGGTCGATTTCAATGCGAATAAAATTTCTCAAGCAGTCACAAATATTGAAATAGATAATTTCTCGAGAAGCTGTAATGGAATGGCATTTTGGATCGAATGGATATTGGATGAGAATGACATCATTATTTCCACTGGTCCATTAAATGAGATTGTATCAGGAGAATTAATAAATTGGAAATTCGACCGTCAAGCGGTCCATTTGATTCACTATAAAGATATCGTGACTGGAATTTTAAAAAGCATCGACATCAAATTTCATTTAAAGGACGAAATTGCATTTGATTTCTCTTATCATTACGAGAAATAGTGTCCAATTACAATGTCTTCTTACTTTATTGTTTTCTTTATCATAATAAAATAATGATGCGATAAGGAAATTTTCCTTGACTTGACAATAAAATGGAAATTCAAATGAGTCAAGAAATTTGAACTGGATTTTTCTTTTTGTTCTTCTCGCTGTGTTCAAAATGAAAATGAGAAGCTTTCTGAAAAGCATGTGAGTCATAAACATTTTCTCGAGAGTTTCCTTACACATGGTTTCAAAATGACAAGGTCGTTGAATTTCACGAATTTCGTGCACTCTCTTTTTTATTTATCTCAAACGGAACTCATGACATTTTTTTTTGCTTCATTTGCATTTTTCTTCGCATGCAATTTGTACTGAAATGTTTTTCATCTTCTACTTCTATCTCATGAAAACTTAATGTTGTTAGTAGAAAATGAAGGTTTCCCGTTCTTAGGTTATGAATATATTCCAATAAACTTCAGAATTAAATGGTAGCTGCTTGACTGATTTATGTTAATTTTAGATCTTAAGATGCAAATGAATTTCCTCAAAAGTTTTTTATTGTGAATTTTTATCTTAAAAGTTAAACTATTGTAAATTTTTATTAAGCTTCAAAGTTTTATTATTCATCTGCAATTTTTTCTTAAAAATTTATTAATAATTAAAAATAGCATCACAATACATCATTTTTTAACCCTAGATTTAAATAAACTCAGTTAAAATTTGTTCTTAATTGTCTTCTCGAGAGAATTGTACAATACTAGCCTTCAAATGGAGAAAGTTTAACTTCCTAATTGTGTCTTTTAAAAATAAAATATTGGAAATAATATTAAATTTCTTAATAGTATCGTGGAAAAAACTTTTGTTGCCAGAAGCCTAGAGTTGTAATAAAATCTGGACCTAGTTCTAATCTTACTAAATGTCCAATGAAAACTTTTGTGTAATCAGTCTATTGATTTGTTTAAAAACGATAATATTAGTGCGTGTCGTGGTTTCTACTATATTTAATTCGGTTCTTATAATTAATTGTGGCTAGATGTATTTAACGATATTCTCTAGGTCATGTAATTGGAAAAATTTCAGAAAAGTTGCGAAAAATTCAATCGTCTTCATTGACAAAAAATCAAAATTAATTACAAATGTAATTAATTCATGGTTGACTGCAGGCTTAATTCCTTAAAACTGGATTCATGATATATAGAACAAAATATAACTAGAAGATGATTCAAATACATCAATATTAATCATTAGACTTTAAATTTCATTAATACGTCTTCTTGATCAAAATACAATTTAAAATACACAAAGAATTAAAAACATAGTCAAGTAATACAATAAAGGAACTAAATGCAAACTACATTTCAACAGAAGAGAACATTCCTAGAATCATCCATAAAGTGGTAAAAATCCAGCTTAAAGAGGATTTCATACATCGGAATGTGATGTGCAAATATTTTAATAGGAAATGCTTTCAGAATGACTCATAACAATTAATCTGTTCAACATCATGAAACACACTTGGTAGAGAAGCTAGAAAATACACATCCGGTACTTAAAAGAAGTGAAAAATGATAAGAAGATTTGATACTCAAAAGAGCATGAGATGACAAAATTATCATCAGCACTAAGTTATAAGCAATCCATCATCAATAATTTTCTCTCGTTCTCACTTTTATTCCTAAGAATTCGTAAAGATCATGAACGCAGGAAATAGCTCGTTTCTGAACATCTCAAACCTGATTTTATCAATCCCTAACTTGATATTCATGTCTCTTCATATTCTACTGATGAAATTCATTTATTATAAATCTTTGATGATGAAATAGATGAACATGAAGAGGAGAACACATAGTTTAATTAATCGACACAAAAGCTTTTCAAATCTATTTAAATTCTGACTAGCATGTACACAAGAAAAAACATAATAGAAGAAAAAAAAAAGAAATTCGATCGTTTATTTAAACAGACATGAAGCAGCATTAATCACAAAGTATATCAAATGAAATCTGTATATTCGTACATCAATAAAAAATAATTTTATAATATTAAAATCCCTCATTCGTGATGGTATCGATCATCATATAGGCAGCAGCAACAACAAATACAGAAAAGGAATTAAAAATACCTGAAATATGAATCTGAGGTATCCGAAGACAATAAAATTAAAATTGAATAACAAAAATTTCATTGAACTCGCAAGAGCTCGATCTAATCGCTGAGAGTCCAGACACACGTACGTTCGTAAGCTTAAGGTTTAAAAAATCAACAACAATACATGACGACGCGTCGTTGTTTTGTTATTTTTCTCTCATTTCTCACTTTACTTCTTTTTTTTTCATTTTTTTTGCTCTCTTTCTATTCTGTCTTATTCTTGTTCTTAACTTGTTTCTTGTTTCGAGAGGTTCCTAAACTTGAAAATTTAGTTTGAAATTTGAAACCTTTAACACAAAATATACAATTTCATTTACAAAATAATATAATGAAGAACAGCGAAATGAATGGAGAAAGAATAGAATGAAGAATGGAAATGATGATGATCAGGGTTGATACTGTATTATTGAGATTTATCAAGGTTATAACTCGTTAATTCAATTAGATTTAAAATTATTGTTCTTAAATTGTTTTATCTAGATTCAGACATCTAGTCGAATTCTCGCTTTCTTTTGGATGTTTTGAAGATTTTGAAGAGTGAATTTAAAGAAGTTATGATCCATATCTAAAGAAATTGCAATGTCGCGACATTGTGGGAACATTTTCAAATCTATTGTTGATCAAAAGAAATAAGAAATTGGAGTATGACTTAGAATTTCAATTGACCTCTTTATAAACAATTGTCTTACCACTCATTCACAGATAACTTCTCATAAACTGGCTAATTTGACTGCATGCACATAGAATTCTAGTTTTTAATCTGATTTGACAGCCTAAATCTTGAACAACCTGAAGACGCAGCTGATAAATTTCATTTCATAGCTTAAGATAGAAATTAATCAAACGAGTTGGTTTGATCCTGTAACACAATATCTAAAGTTTAAGTAATATTCACATTAAGGCTTAATTTCAACTTTGTTTCGAATTAAAAGATTTGTTAAGCATACAAAAGGTTCATAGAATTATCTTCTATGGTCAATCTTATTGTAAAGACAATACTGAGAAAACTTCAATTCAAAACAATTGCCAATTAACATTGAGAATTCCAAACTCTAAATCAACAAATCAAAATTGCCTAAGTTCAAACATCAAGATTAGCAACCCTGCGTGATGATGATGAGAAAGGAGAAGAAAGATTGGTCAATTATCATCCGCTTCTTTTCCACTTGCTCCATTACTATCCTTTTTCATAATAATAATTTGAATTTTGAGAATATCTCGTTCTTTATGGATCTCTTTTGATTTCTCTTATTACTTCACAATTCTTGCTTTTCTTATAGTTTCAAGAACTTGATGATAATAATGTGTTCAAATTCAATCAATTGTTCACATATTTTTGGAACACTTGAAGGGAGAGAGCGAGTGAGATAGAAAAGAAGATTAAAGCTTTTGTTATGCTTAATCGTTTCGCGATGAAATTGGAAAAAAAAGAATGAATATACAAAGAATGTTGTTTTGATATTGTGGGAAATATTCAGTAGAAGATATTTTTTATATTCACCGGAAGTGTCTGCTGCATATTTTTGGAAATGAACAGAAAAAGGCTTCTGTCGACAATGCCTGTGTTGATATATTTATCTCTGCCATTGAATATTAATGTGTGTTATAAAGTTCAATGATCCTCACACGTTATTTATTTCTTTTTTTTCGGGAGGGATTATTAACATCATAAAAAGTAAATCTTTTTCCATTGTTAGTCGGGAGTTAATCGAGTTACATTTTTACAAAAACCACGGGAATTCAATTTCAATCAATAATTTCCTGTAAGCATGTGCATGGATTCGATGGATGGATAAGAAAATTTATTATTATTTTGGTTATGCATGTACACATCATATAATGAATAATTTAGTATAATTTTTGGAAATAGAATAAGAAGAAGAACATTTCTCATTTTGAGACGCATTATCAAAGGTATTATTGTGGTATTATATACAGTACATAAGTTTTATGAGTTAATCTCCATGAAATTGCTCGCTTTAATTTTTAAATTGTAATTTAAACTTTTAATGCTGATGATGCACGATAATCTCTTCCATATTGTTTTACTGACAATCTTAGAATTAAGGATAATCAAGAGTTATAGATACAATCATATAATACTGTCTGGATCACTTAAAAATAGAAATGAGGCAGCAACATTCAATCTTTTAACATAGGTACTTATTTTTAGCATCATTTCTAAAGCAATTACTTCTCCGGGTACTCTGGGAATTATGAAAAATGGAAGTGAAAATCTCATAAGATTTTGTTTGTTTTGGTAAAAAATATTCCATCCTGTTAAATTTTATAAACATCTTTTTATGTGCTTAGTTAAATGTGTAATAAATCAAAATTAAATATGAAGTTCTGTGTTATATCTGTATGCAACCTTAATCTTAAAAATCTATGCAAAAAAAAAGTTTCGTGTAATGAAATAATATTAGAGATATCGTCAGAGCTGATGGGAAGGTTTTATTAGCTAATCTAGATAGTTTCTAAGTTCTTGATTCGATGCTCCAGCTAGAAAATCTATGTTAGGTTTTAATTACCATCCATTGAGTTAAATACGCGACTTTAAATGAATTAAACAGCTTATAAAACAAACTTAACCCTTTTTAGCGCATTTTTGAAACTTGTTTCTAAAAGGTAGCTTAATATCTCACTATGTCTGTTCGTTCGGGCGGAGAAAAACTTTTTAACTTGACATCGTAGAGAGTTCTAGTTGGTTTTATTAGCTCAGGTCCATTGTTTTATTTTCTGGAATCGTATTTAAAAGTCTTGAAACAGTGTTTTTGAACTATAATTAATGATTTTTATATTTCATATGAAAAATTACGTGATGAGAGCGTTTAGAAATTCGAATTTATTTCTACCGTTGAAAAATTTTGTATCTCAAAAAACCGGTAAATTACCAAGCCTTTTTATATGAAAATTTTTTTTGCAACAGACTGTTATTTATACTATAATTAATGCTTTTACTGT